GGCAGCCTTATCCGACAGTATCTTCTGCAGCGGCTCGCACACCCAACGCCGTCAGCTAGTCTCGGAATTCGGTGAGACATGATAACAATGCGGTGGCCCAATTCCGAATCACTTGCATTCATGTAATGTGACCGGAGGCCCCGTGTTTCACAGCCCAATCCCTTTGAACGCGCAAAGGTCCAATTGCCGTAGCAGACCAGGTTCTGCCCAAGGGCTTTTGCGCGCCGTTTCTGTGGACAATTCCACCCCCTTGCTCTCATACATGTAAACGACCTAATATCGGGAGATGTACTCCGTAGTCTACCTCCTAATCTAATTGAACCATTCAGGCAGCAGCAGCGGTATTTCAACAATCTACCCAAGTACTCTTGCCCACCCAACTCTAACCAATGCGCGGGTTGTACAGCACGACCTGGTCGATAAAATGCTACACTACAGTTCTGACTTTTATGATGTCAATCATTTGCTCAAAGCCGGGTCGACCAAAGGCAAAGTCATCTATGAAGCAAGGTGCGATCACAGCCAGCCTTCTGATGACTTTGCATCCTGCTTGACGCGAGGACGCCGCCCTTGTTCTTGTTTTGGCGACCCTGCCAAAAGGGCAGGCCTCCTACAAGTGGAGGTCTTATTTTGGTTGGTCTTCTTCATTTCCTTTACAACATTCTTTAGTGCCAGATAAGGCAAGTCACCAGCGCCATTGACGTCAACTTTTGGGTATTCACTTGGGATTCTCAACCTCAAGCCTGCAGAGGGCTGTGGGCAAAGTCTTTTGACACCCCTTATTCTTTCGGATTATACGCCGCCTCTGAAAGCCAAAACCGTCATTGAACCAGCGCCATCGTTTGATAATGCAATCAGAATAACGCTGGCCCACCGGAATCAATTATCTCAGCCCCTCTACAATTCAAAAATGTCAAACAGCTGTACCAGGGCGGCTACTGCATGTCATGCGCCGTTGCCCAGGCTGAGCGGGAGGGCCTTAAAGTGGTCATCGGTGGCTTGCCGAGTGCGTATCATGTTGTGGATGACGGAATAACCCATTGGGATACAGACTGATGTCATTAAAAGGTAGTGAATGAAGCTAGGTCCACTTAAAAACCATGGTCAGATGCAGCCTGAGCAATTATGGGTGCCTGTTACTCACGAACATTCATCAAGGAGATGTGAGTGAGTTAAGTTTTGTGCTATTAGTTCTACGAAAATACCACTACAACGGTACCAATCTTCACATCTAGAGGCATGTGTAATGCATAGTGGCTGTGGTAATTTCATCTATTAAGTGTGCTATTCTAGTTCCAGCTTTCGGCTTGCTGCTTCCAAGAACCAACACCTTGAAAGAAGCTTCTGTATCTTAGATTCTTCTGCCGCTGAGATGAGGAACTCTAGGGAAGCATTTCAGGCAATACGAGTACCTATGTAGTATCTTGAAAACCTGAGGCGATGTGGTACCGTCGTATAATGCAAGGGTCTGCAAAATAATCTGCCTTTATATGCTCCGAATTTCGATTTTTTAGCAAGCGCCACGTCCCCTACCTGGCTTGATGCATTTAGAACTCGAGGCTACACTCTAATTCCAGTCCCCGAGTTGGTCATATTATCCAGGAATAGTGGCCGCGAACCGACTGGCCTCGGTGCTGGACGGGGTGTATATCAACGTAACGCACGCCCAACTTTAACTTCTCCTCAACGGAGGTGTGCTGTGTTGCGACAGTCGCGACAGCTGCGAATATAGTACTCCACAGCATCTTAATTCCAGAGCCTAAAATGTGATGCCATAGGTTTTATCAGCTCTACCGAGTGAAGCTAGAACTCTAGAACGACGGGGTCTAGACCACAATGACCGACAGCAGCTGCTGAAACCACGGTGCGATTATAGGATCAACTATTGTCTCTGACCGGTGGCGAATTGCCCAGCTTTGCGTACATTGCATTGTGGAGAATTGAAAGTCAATACCCGTCTTTGCAACGGCTTCTCCGGTGTCGTGACCGGCGGCGGCCCGTCCCGTCCGGGCGGAGCCAAGACGCCTGATGCCGGGGCTGAAAGCTGCCTTGCATGTCTATTGGCGGTCTGGACGCGAAAAGGGCTATTCCTCCCGCACCTACAGCTGGTATCCAAGCCCTCAATATTGTCGCTAGCGTCACACGGATGATTCTGGAATAGTATCTGACAGGAGACTAGCTCAGCTTTCAGCTTCAAAGCCTTCATGGTCCTGCCGAGGGGCTGAGAGCCAGCGCGCTACATTAGTGCATAATCCATGGAGTTCATGGCAGACTTATTGGACGTTCTAGATCGCAACATCGATCGACATCAAGCCGGAGATGCTGGCCTATGACAATACCATCTTGTATATTAAGACAGTCGACAGCGCACCAAGAACTCAGTGTATGCCATCTCAACAACGATACTTCTTTCAACCTCAAGCATATCACTCTTCTTCAAAGAACCTCGACGAAACCTCTGGTAAAGCTAGCCCTACCATGATGGCGCAAGGCAACGAAAGCGAGACCTATCTCAATCTTGGCTGGACAGGCCCTCACATCACATTCGGCTCTGGCTACGATGTTGCTGTAGGTTGTCCTCAAAAGATGCCGTCTCATGCCGAATCTATCGTCTAATGAGCACATAGCATCGCAAATTACGAAGTTCTGCATTTAATAATTTCCCGCATGCCACAACGGAGCCCAGCCACATTGGTATCAAAACTCAAACGCATCTCATCACCACGGCCGAAGAGCTCAAGTCTCGCATCAAGGCGGATGTCAAGGCAACGATCCCCCTGGAGGGAGTATCAGTCGAGACTGAGAACTCGTGTCTTCGAAATGTCCAGACGTCTTCCACCTCCCTTGTCCAGGTCATTACGGCCACAGTCGAGGATCCTCCCGCTCTAGTAGACACTTCCAACTTGAAGCTCAGCGCCGCCGCACTGTCCGTCTTGCAAAGTCCCGACGGGATCAACAAGTTTCAAGAACGCTACGGCGATTATTTTGTCTACGGCGCATTGTCGCGCGCCCGATTCAACGCCGTCTGCACCATCCGGACTTCAAGCGCTAGTATCCGAAACCAGATCAAGACCAAGCTCGAGGCGACCCTCACCGAGGCCGGCAGCCTCTCCGCCGTCTTTGAATCTCTCAGCAAGTCCTCCAGCGAATGGGCATCGACCGATATCGATATTGCCATGAGCGGAGTCAAGGGCCAGCCTGCCTGTGACAAGGGCTATAATTATAGGGCTTAGAACAATGTTCAATATTCATCTAATAATTCGCTTTAATATTAAAGGTCCTTAGTTTCCCTTAAGGCCTTAAGGGGCAAATAACCTTTATTTATATTAAGAGGCGGTTAAAAAGCTGTCTAGATACCTAAGGCCTTTATTAGGTTTTAAGCCCTTATATAACTATTATTATATTTAAGGTATAGCCTGTGCTTTTATAGCAACGTAATATCTATATAATAAATCTCCCTTTTTCTTTAGGCTTACCTCTAAGACTTTATTTAATTTATAACCTTTTAATTATATAGTTTTATTAGATTAAAGTATTAGTATTATATTAAAAGTTACTTT